CCACTATTCTTAAGTTCAGCCTCCCACTTAAGTATTGGAACAGGGACACAAAAGAGGTTCTCTGCTACATCCCAACAAGGATGGCCTTTAGTTCAGTTCCCAATAGAACCCTCATTTCTACCGGAAGCTCGATCAGCATGCATTTACTGTCCGCACTTCCTATGAGCTCTCACCAGAATTGCCCATAACACTTTGCTTACAGCATTCAAAACTTTACTCAGCCTGTTCCTCCAGACTCTGCCAGTTAACCAAGTACAAACTACAATACCACTCCTCAGAACCAATTTTCTGTGTTGGGCTTTTTGTTTTTTTTCTTTACTACAACAAAATACCTAAGGAAAGCTGCTTATGAAGGAAGGAGGTTTATTTTGACTAAAGTTTTGTAGGTTCATGGTCCAAGATCAGACAGGCCATTGGTCTGACTGTGAGGTCAGAGGTTGGCAATGGCAGACTGTGTGTAGAGGAAGGACCATACGTCCAGCCAGGAAGCAGAGAGAAGCTACACCCAAAGCAGCTTTTATAATCCGCTCTCTGATGAGAACTTCCTTCTGGGAGTGTGCCCCTAATGATCCAAGAACCTCCCACTGAGCCACCTCTTAAACGCCATGATTGGATCATGCCACCATCCTCCTAGGACTGCCGGCCCGACTTTAGGGTTAAAATGTCTGCATGACTTAGGGAGCCAAATCCTGTCAAACCATAGCATCAGCTTCACTCAATTACATTGTCTGTCTGTCCTGGACTTTGTGACCTGTGGGTTAAATCACTGAAATCACTCTGCCAATGCCACGTCACCACAAAATCCAACTTTATAATTCTAATTTGGGGTAAGTGTACCAAAGAGGAAAAGATTTTCTGTTAATAGGTTTCATTATCTGATTATCAAGAAAATTACCTAGGTGAAATTTGCATTACATGTCCTTAAGTCACTCAAGATAAACTTTGTCTCTTTCATAATGCTGACAAAAAATAGAGGTGGATCATCTATCCTGACAGCAAAAGATAATGTTAAGAAATATTTTAGGCCGGCGCTGTGGCTCACTAGGCTAATCCTCCGCCTTGCGGCACCAGCACACCGGGTTCTAGTCCCGGTCGGGGTGCCGGATTCTGTCCCAGTTGCCCCTCTTCCAGGCCAGCTCTCTGCTGTGGCCCGGGAGTGCAGTGGAGGATGGCCCAAGTACTTGAGCCCTGCACCCCATGGGAGACCAGGATAAGTACCTGGCTCCTGCCATCGGATCAGCGCGGTGCGCAGCGCGCCGGCCGCGGTGGCCATTGGAGGGTGAACCAATGGCAAAGGAAGACCTTTCTCTCTCTCTCACTGTCCACTCTGTCAAAAAAAAAAAAATATTTTAGGGTACAGCACTATTGGGCAGCGGGTTAAAGCCTCAGCCTGCAGCGCCAGAATCCCATATAAGCACCGGTTAAGTCCTTGCTGCTCCACTTCTGATCCAGTTCTCTGCTTTGGCCTGGGAAAACAACAGGAGATGGCCCAAGTCCTTGGGCCCCTGAAGCTGTGTGGGAGACCTGGAAAAAGTTCTGGCTCCTAGCTTTGGATCATCTCAGCTCTCGCGTTGCATTCATCTGGGGATTGAACCAGCGGATGGAAGATTTCTCTCTCTCTTATGTCAGATATACAGTATATCACATGCTATATTTACATACCCAAACAACATACAACCTTCCTGGAAGTTCTAATTAGATAAGAGAAACAGACCCAAAAGGATTATTCTACCACTTTTAAAATTGTGAAACATACATGCCACATACAGTTGAACTCCAGCAATAGCTTTTGAACCCCAGGAGCTAAAGCAAATTTAGAAAGAAGTCATCTTAACTAAGTGGGATGTCTGATCAATGCTTTCTTCAAAACAATTTATTTTCATTTATTTGAAAGGCAGAAAGAAGACATCTCCCACCTGCCCTGAAAATGCCCATAAAGGCCTGTACTGGGCCAGGACAAGCCAGGAGCCTAGCATCTGAGTCTCTCACGTGGAAGACAGGGATGCAAGCCATCACCTGCTACCTCCAAGGGTGTTCATTGCCAGGAAGCTGGAATTAGAAGCAGAGCCAGGACTCTAACCCAGGCACTCCAAGATGGAATGGGCATCTCAAGTGGCTTCTTAACTGCTGGGCCAAACACCTGCCCCTTAAAAATATCTTGAAAAGATCCTTTGTAGTCATCCTCTAATATGTAAGCCTACAAAGAAATGCACTTCTAAGCATGTTTGGAGTACCACAAGGATGCATCACATTAAAATAAATCATTTTGATTCTTTCTCTAAAGTAGGATAGGCTGTCATTCTCCATTAAACATTTGAATGTGTTCGACAAGGTTTGTTTGTAGATATCAAGTTTGTTTCATAGGTACACTATGGATAAAGCAGACTGTATTACATTTTAAATTCAAAATACAGATGGTTCCTTAGGCTGAATTAAGATTTTTCAATTGTGATGTTGCAGACACATACCCAAACAGCCATTGTTTATCACTTTCAGTTCAATATTCAATAAACTACATGAGATATACAGAACTTTATTATAAGATAGGCCTTGTGGTAGATGATTCTGCCCAGCTGTAGGCAAATATGTCTTCTGCATACATTTAAGTCAGGCGAGGCTAAGCTATGTTTGATAGGTGTATTAACTGCATTTAAAACTTCTAAATATTTTCTTAATGGAAAACATTAACCCTGTCGTAAGTGAACAGGATCTGTGATGGGTTATTTTCCATTTTCTTGGCTCTGGAATATCAGTTCATAACACCCCAGGGAATGTCTGTCACTAAGATTGGTTAGATACCAATTTTTATCAGGTAGTCTTTTTTTTTTTTTTTTTTTTAAGATTTGCTTTATTATTTGGAAGACAGAGTTACAGTGAGAAATAGAGACAGAGAGGTCTTCCATCTGCTGGTTCACTCCTCAGATGGCCACAACAGCCAGAGCTGCATTGATCTGAAACCAGGAGCCAGGAGCTTCTTCTGGGTCTCCCATGTGGGTGCAGGGGCTCAAGGTCTTGGGTCCTCTTCTACTGTTAGCCCAGGCCATAGCAGAGAGCTGGATCGGAAGAGGAGCAGCCAAGATTAGAACCAGTGCCCATATGGGATGCCGGTGCTTCAGGCCACGACGTTAACCTGGTGCACCACAGTGCTGGCCCCACCAGGTAGTCTTACAGTTTCTTTTTGTTTATGTAAGCTTATCTACAATTTTATTCTGTTATTTTTTGCCAAGGTTCTTAATTTTTTTCCATCATAAAGGTGATCAGCTTGAGGATGAGCGTGGGTAATTATTAAGTGCTAAAAGATAGATACCGTTCCTTTAACACAAGAAATAGAAACCCCCCATACTTGCTTCCTTATACACAGTATATGCAACGGAATAGCCAAGATGTTTTGGATGACCTTACAGTTTCTTATTGATTTCCTTTCACAGTAAGATAGATAGCCCTGATAAAGTGCTTCAGTGAGTAACTTAGCTACTTCAGAAAAGCAGAGAGCCCAAGCAATAAACCCAATTTGATTGAAAAAAACTGGAAAGATGTCATCAGTAAGAACAATATTCCTTTTCAACAATAATGCATTTTTCCCAGTACCCTGAGACTGATGTTAACATTGACTTGCTGTGCTAAGCTGTTGTGAGCTCTGGGAATTGGGAAGTGTACAGGAAATAAATGTGCCCAATTCTGAATTTTGCCCATAACTGAGATAACAACCAGTCACCAATTGCTAGTTGTCAGAGCCAAGAGTTAAACTGCATTCAAGAAGTTAGGATATGGGCTCTGCACTCTTACTTACAGAAATAGAATTTTATTGACTGAAATAAAGAATATGTAATATAAAAAGAGGCTTAGAATCACTCCATTTTATACTTAATGTTCATGTAAAAATAAAAACCTCCACAGGCCAGTGCTGTGGCATAGTGGGTAAAGCCACTGTCTGCAGTGCTGGCATCCCATATGAGCACCTGTTCAAGACCTGGCTGTTCCACTTCTGATCAGCTCTCTGCTATGACCTGGGAAAGCAGTAGAAGATGGCCCAAGTGCTTGGGCCCCTGCACCCATGTGGAAAACCCGGAAGAAGCTCCTGGCTCCTGGCTTTGGATTGGCCCAACTCCAGCCACTGTGGCCATTTGGGGAGTGACCAGCGGATGGAAGACTTTCTCTCCCTCTCTCTCTGCTTCTCTACAACTCTGCCTTTCAAATAAATAAGTAAATCTTGAAAAAACCCTCCAAATATTTTTAATGGGTAAAATAAAATATTTCACATCCAATATGAATTTTTGATGAGGTTTTCCTTTTAACACCTATGATATAGGCTTCAAGATCAGTTCACTGAAATACAAATGTATACATGTGCACACACCCTCTATGTATAAACGGTGACACACATTTGAAGCATTTTCTTGAGAAGATGCAGTGATGCAAAGGGAAGTTTAGAATTCAGCCAATCTGCCATAAAACAAAAGGTTCCAAAGTGGAAAAAAATTCTTTTTCATGCAATAAACCTGTCAAGAGAATATGAGTTGCACTGGCTGATTCTGAGCTCCCTAAAGTTCTCAGAGTTCATCATTCTATGAGTTCATTCTTCTAGCAATTCCTGCCCTAAATAGGCTGCTCCTTGGGAGAAGTAAGGAAGTCGTATTTATTTTTTCAGGCTAAGAGAATTTAAAGGAAATCCATTCTTGAACGTGGACCATGAGCAGGTGTCCATGAGCTAAGCAAGTGACAAGACACTCGGTCCTTCCAAAACCCCACCACACTGATTGGTCGTAATGTCACCTCGATCAGCTGATTCATTTGAGCCTGTCAAATCAAAGGCTTGTCATTAAGTTAGAAATCTTGGCCCATATTTTTTAGGAAGCCCTTATACCTAGAAGACCGCCTTTCCTGTCCTATATTTCTGCCTCCATAAACACAAATTTTCTTTGGGTCATGACTTCCCAACGGTCTCAGTGATCATCCCTGCCCTCTACAGGAGCAGAATCAAAGAATGGATTGGAGACAAGTCAGAGAAGACTAAATGCTTTTACTTAGCTTAAGCAAGGAAAAGTGCGACATCAGTGTTTTTTTGCTGTGTGAGGGCTCCTAACACATTCTTAACAGAGCAGTTCTACAGACAGCCTTTTGCAGAAAGCATTTCAGTAGAGTGACAGAATCATGATGCTTTTATTTCACTACAAGTATATTTTAAAGTGTACTTGAAATTTGTAATGCATCCAAATTCAGATTTAAAAATCTTTAAAAGCCATAGACACCGAGTTTAGGAGGCTGATGGCTGTGAGTCTCCCTTCTGGTTTAATCCATGTCTTGTTTTGCATTCCTCACAGGTGAGCAGGCAGTGCCTGGAAGAGAAGCAAACATAAGTGGTGATTTGTGCTTTGACACTGGGAGCTCCAGTCTTAACACATTATTTAGAGGATATTTTTCATGATAAAATTCCCTAGCCTAATAAAAAAAAAAAAAAGACGACGATGCAGTGGCTTTTAAAAAAGATTTATCTGTCAGACAAGGGTAGGAGAGTGTGTGTGGGGGGGCAGTGTGGAATGAGAGTGAGCGAGCTTCCATCTGCCAGTTCACTCTCCAAATGACCACAAGGGCTGGGGCCGGGCCAGGCTGGGACCAGGAGCCTGGAACTCTATCAGGGTCTCCAAAACCGATGGCAGGGGTCCAAGCATTCGGGCCATCTTTTGCTGCTTTTCCAGGTGCATCAGTAGGGGGCTGGGTCAGATACTGACCAGCAGGGACTCAGACCAGTGCTCTGATATGGGATCATGGTGTCCCAAGGGGCAGTTTGTGGACTGCACCACAACACCAGCCCCTAGCCTAATGGATAACAGGAATCATTTCAGCCAACAGTGAAGTAGAAACAGTTGTATCTGTGGTGAGGGTCACATAGACAGGGGTTGAACACCTTCGCTCTATTTTAAATAAGTCATTTCTATCAACAGCATAACAAAGTCATAAACAGGACTTAACTTATGCATACATATATACACATAATTTTCAAAATTTAAAAAAATTGACCAGACTAGAATGAGCAAAAGAATTGAAAAGATATTTCTTAACACTTAAACCATATTAAGGGGGTAAATTTAATGTTACATGTTCTTACTACAATAAAGAAATGACAAGAAAAAAATTGTAATGACATTTCCATAATTCCTGGCTTATAGTTTGCTTAACTCTGTCAGTTTCCTTTTGATCCAACCTAATACAAAGGAAAATGCAGGTTTGTTCTCGAATAACATCCATTCTTACTGAAAGGTGTTTGGTGCCCTTTTCAGCACTTAAATTTTAGAGATTTACAAATTCTATTCAAGTACTGAACATCTGCTACTCTGAGGAGTTTGCAATGGCAGAATTTTATTTAAGGACATGAGATGAGAACAATCTGCCCTGAGTGGTGCCATGGCGTGGATACAGCTTGAGTTTGCATAAGGGTTCATGTGTTGAAGCTTGGTCCGTAGGGTAGCAGGGTTGGGAGGTGGGGCCTAGCAGGAAGTAATCTGGTCACTGAGGATTGCTGTAATCCTTGTGGAACTCTGGGTAGTGCTCCTGAGAGAGTCTGTTATAAATGGGAGCCTGACCCCTCAACCTCTTTTTGACTTCCTGTTTCACCAAGTGATATTTCCCTCTCACCTTTGCTCCCGCCATGACTTCATCCACCATGAGGTCCTCACCACAACCAAGCTAGCGTTGGCACCATGCCCCTGAGCCTCCAGAACTGTGAGCTAAAGAAATTCATAAAGTAGCCAGCTTTGGGTATTTCGTTACAGTAACAGAAAGCAGCCTAGTACAACGGGGGAAGGATTACTCGGGAGACATCAAGACTAGAAGCTGTTGTAAATCCATGGAGAGTTGGATGATGGGACCCCTCGCTCCTTCCTTCATCACTCATTTCACTCCATTGCTTTGAGAATGAAGTGAAAATCCTTACATGGCATAAATTTCTCCAGAACTGACCTCCACCTGCATAGCCTCCCAGCTTGTCTTCTGCCATTTCCCAGTAGCTCTTTAGCCATAAGATGTATTTGTGTCTCCCTTTAATAAATCACATCTACATGCTTTTCCTGATCCAGGATCCTCTTGTTCAACTTTGCCATAACTTCTACTGATATGTTTGTTTACTTATTTATTTGAGAGACGGAGACAGATAGTGCCATCTGCTGGATCACTCCCAAATGCCCGTAACAGCTGGGCCTGGGTCAGCCTGAAGCCAAGGAGCCAGGAACTCAATCCAGGTCTCCCTTGTGGGTGGCAGCAGCCATCACCTGCTGCCTCCCACGGGGTGCATTAGCAGGAAGCTGGAATTAGGAATGGAGCCTGGAACCCTGAAGCTCCCCTGGGGGATGCAGGCAGGCCAAAACCCACCCACATTGGTTTTTTAAGATTCAAAGCAAGCAACAGCACCTCTTCTAAAAAGCCTTTCCTCATGTTCCTCTCCTCCACCTCACCTTACTTAAGTGCCCTGCTCTAGTTTGCCTTAACTAGAAAACGGAACAGCTTGACTCCCTGACGTGCTGGTAACGGCCCTTCGCATGGGGACTTGCAGTTGGCTCTCAGCCACTGATGTAAGTCCAGAGTGGCACTGCTGTGGCCAGGGATGGCCAAGCCATGTGGGACCACAGAGCTGAAAGGAAACTTGGAGACCGTTCACTTCAACCACCTGCTACATGTGAAGTACACAGCAATGGAGAGTCTCCGAAAATGTAGACTTCACTCTTGTGCTCATAATTATTCTGGAATCCAAAGTTGACTAATAGCAAATGAAACTCCTGAAACTGCAGAAGACAAGGCAGCAATCCACAAAATCTCCTTCACCTGTGGTTTTTTTTTTTTTTTTTTAACTTTTTCCATAGACCAGTGTCCTTAGCAAGCAGGGTCCTAAAACACAACTTTGCAGGGATGGGCTAAAGCCGGTGTTGTCTATGAATGTGGAGTTGGTGACTCTGATGGGAAGGGTTTGGGAAACAAATGGGTAAGGTTTGTGTTCCCCTTCCACTGAGCCAACCTCATCATCAGGAAGAGACAGCTTGTGCGGTTCTACCCACCTCTACGGAGCCAGGGAACGTGGTCTTCCAAAGTCACACCATTAGACAAAGAATTTGGGAGTGTGCGTTGTGCTGTAATGCACAAGCTGCTACCTGTGATACCAGCATCCCAAATTGGTGCGGGTTTGAGTCCCGGCTGCTCCACTTCCCATCATCTCCCTGCTAATGCACCTGAGAAAGCAGCAGAGGATGGCTCAAGTGCCTGGGCCACTGCACCCACATGTGAGACCTGGAAGGAGTTCTAGCTCCTGGCTTCGGCCTAGAAGTAAACCAGTGGCTGGATGGAAGATCCTACTTTCTGTCTCTCCCTATCGCTTTGCAACTATTTCAAATAAACAAACAAATCTTAAAAAAAAAAAAAAAAGAAAGAAAGAAAAGAAAAGAAAAAGAACTTGGGGGGGACAGGGGAGGTGTTTGGCTTGAAAATGCCAGGGACTGAGTCTTGGCTCCACTCTTGATTTCAGCTTCCAGCCATTGTGCACCCTGGGATCAGCGGCAAGGGCTCAAGTACTTGTATCCCTGCAGCCCCTGAGGGATACCTGAGTTGAGTTGAATTCTTTCTTGGCTTTGGCCTGGCTCAGTCCTGGCTCTTGTCGGTATTCGGGGAGTGAACTGGCAGGTGGGATTTCTTCCCCCTTTCCCTCTCTCTCTCTGCTCTCAAATAAAGAAAGAATTTGGGTGCCCTAACTTCTAGTCCAATGTTGTTTTCACTGTATCATGCTACCTCTAAAACAGAATCCACTATAACAAGTGAGGGGTTTTTAGAGAAATGTGTCCAGAATCGTCATCCTATCATACTGCAGAATAGCTAACATTTACCGAGTGCTACGAAGAGCCATTTCTGTTCCTGCCAACATCCCATGGAAATGATTCTGATCATCATTTTCCATACAGGAGAAAAATGGAGATTAGAAAGTTAAAGAAACTTGTCCAAGGCCACATAGGTTAATAAGTGGTAGAAATAATTTTTTAATCCAAGTAGTCAAACAGCAGAAGTTATATTATTAGCTCCTAAATCCTGCAGTTTATCTCTCCCATGGAGAATCTCCACATACGAATACGTTAAAGACTCTGAGAAGCCCTATCATATTTTGTGTAACCCTGTGATGGCAGAAGCCACAGCTACTCACTAAGCTATTTAGAGACCTGGATAATACTTTGAAAATAGTAGGTGTTCATTAAGTATTTGTAAGGAGACGGGGGTGTTTGGCATAGAGGCTAAGACACCACTCGGGACACTAGCATCTCAGGAGTACCTCAGTTTGAGTTTGTGGTGCCTACTTTTTTTTTTTTTTTTAAGATGCATTTATTTATTTATTTGAGAAGCAGAGTTATAGACAGAGAGAGGGAGAGACAGAGAGAGAGATCTTCAATCTGCTGATTCATTCCCCAGATGGCTGCAATGGCCTGAGGTGGGCCAAAGTGAAGCCAGGAGCCAGGAGCTTCTCTTGGGTCTCCCACGTGGGTGCAGGGCCCCAAGCACTTGGGCCATCTTCTACTGCTTTCCCAGGCCACAGCAGGGAGCTGGGAGGGAAGAGGAGCAGCTAGGACTCGAACCCACCCATATGGGATGCCAGTGCTACAGGTGGAGGATTAACCTACTGCCCCACAGTGCTGGGCCCTCCCCACCCCGACCTGCCCTGTTCCCTACTTCTGATACCAGCTTCCTCCTAATGCCCTAAGAAGCAAGAGGTAACGGCCCAAGAAGTTGGGTCTTTGCTTTTCACCTGGGAGGCCTGTTTCAGCCCCTGGCTACTGTGGGCACTTGGGGAGTGAAGCAGCAGGTAGGGGAATCTCTGTTTTTCTGCCTTTCAAACAATAAAATAAAAATTAATTAAAATAAAAACAATTTGCTAATGAAACAGGTAACTAAATATTAAACAAATTACTGACTTTCGATAGTAACATCTTAGAACTAGAGGGTTAAAAGTTTCTTTTTTTAGCATATTTTTTAAAAAACCAATTTATTTATTTGAAAGACAGTGAGAGAGATCTTCCATCTTCTGGCTGACTCCCCAAATGCCTGCAACAATCGGGCAGGGCCAGGCTGAAACCAGCAGCTGGGAACTCAATCTAGGTCTCCCATGTGGGTAGCAGGAACTGACTTCTTCAGCAACCACCTGCTGCCTTCCGGGGTGCACATTAGCAGAAAGCTGGAATGCAGAGTGGAGCTGGAACTCAAACCCAGGCACTCTACCTGTGGACGCAGGCATACCGAGTGGTGGCTTCACTGCTCTGCTAACCGCTGCTCGGTATTGCAAATAGTAAGTGCACTCTCACTCTGTAATTATCTTCATCGTAAACCCTCAATCAAACAGATGACAAACCTGTTGTGGTGTGGACCAAATCCAGCCCCACGAAGCTGATTTTCAAAGGAATGGAATTTACTCTGGCACACTCCAATGTAGGATGCCTTTCCCAGGCCAAATCCCAAGATACCAGCAACTGTGAAAGCAAGTTAAGAAAGACAGATAATTCAAAGGTTCAGAACCTTCTCCACTAATTATCTTCTAGAACTTTATTAACCCTAGTAATGTTTGTATTAAAAGTACCATGATAAACTCTGAGAACAAGCAGGATTGGGCACAGGAGACTTTCTGTTCTCCTCAGCTGTGAACTGATGGGAGACAGCAATGACAGTGCAAGCAAAGTGCGGTCCCAGGGGCAGACAGCCAGACAATGGCCCAGCTGTCAACCAAATGGTGGAGGCCACCAGAGGAGGGAAAGGTGGGGGCTGGGCTGTCGCTAAGGGCAACCTCCAAACCCCTGGGTAGGAAGGCCACTCCGCTTGCTTTCCGGACTTGGAGCAGAAGGGAGCTCTCTCCTTGCCTACAGGCGAGAACTCAGCAGGGACTGAAGAAATCTTGAGCCGTGTTCCTCCTGCTGGGAATGAAGAATGTATGCTGGACCCAGCCCTCTCTGCACAGAAACTCATGGTTTATGCATATTTTCATGTAAAAGAGGAAAAGTCCCTGATTCCTAAAAATCACACATTTTGTGTGTCTGTCGTAGAAAACACTTTGAAAAGATTGCCTAGGGTAAAGAAGGAAATAAAAATCCATAAAGGATTTATTAGCCGGAGGCCCGTCTGCCGGCGATTCCATTACAGTGGGTCCTCTGTAGCCATGGGCTTCATATGCATGGATTCAACCAACTGCAGACCCAGAATTTTCCAAAGTTTTGCATCAGTAGTGAACATGTACAGACGTTTTTCTTGCATTATCCCCTAAACAATACTGCATCCCATCTATTTGCATAGCATTTACATTGTAGTAGGTAAGGTGGGTAAGACAGAGATGACCTAAAGTATAGGGGAGAATGTGCGCAGGTTATATACACAACCTGCACCATTTCACTCAAGGGAGCTGAGCACCTGCAGGTTTTGGTGTTCTCAAGGGGTTCCTCACCATGCCCTGAAGATACTAACGGACGACTGGCTCTGTCGTGCCAGTCCCTCCTGCTAAGCTGTACATCAGAAAGTGTTGAATGAACCGAGAAATGCAAAGTGGCAAAAACAACACAAGCAAAGTGGTTAAGCTGGATGTTCATGTTCTCAGTTGCTATAAACATCATCTTTTTTAAAAATGAATCTGCTTTTTCTTACTTTGATAACTTACGTGCAACTTTAGGCAATGATCCAAATCTTGGATTAGCTGCTAAATAGCCTAAGGAGTAAGAGATAAATACATTGTTATTTCATTCTACAATAAAACTCAATTTTATGCACAAAACTTCAAATTTTAACATAAAAAATCTCTTAAATGTATATATTCTTAATCTGAATGAATGGCCTTATAACCACTGATTCAATTTTTAGTTGAGGGGCTGGTGCCGTGGCTAGTGGGGAAAAGCAGCTGCTTGCAGTGCCAGCATCCCATATGGGTGCAGGTTGGAGTCCCAGCTGCTCCACTTCTGATACCAGCCATTAGCAGGGAGCAGTGGAGGATGGTCCAAATACTTGGACCCCTGCACCCATGTAGGAGACTTGGAAGAAGCTCCTGGCTTCAGATTGGCTCAGCTCTGGCCATTATGGCTATTTTGGGGTGGGAGGGGGGAGGGTAAACCAGTGGATGGAAGTACGCATGCTCTCTCTCTGCCTCTGGAACTCTGCCTTTCTAGCAAATAAATAAATCTTTTTAAAAAATTCTTAGTTGAATTTAACTCCCAAATATCTATTCTGGCAAATTGCAAATATTAGCTTTAAACTATAGAAAAGAAATCTGAAAACAGACAATTTCAGACTGATTTAAAGATATTCATCAAGCAAAAGGTGCACCTAACAACTGAATTCAAAGAAATTAAGTTATCATCTACCCTCTCCTCTTCTTAAGTAGCTCAATACTGAAAGTTTCAACTTAGAGATTCAGAATATATACATTATGATTTAAAAATAAACACATTACAATTGTGGCAGCCACAATAATAGTCTCCTAAAGATGTCCATAGCCTAATTTTTGGAAACTATAAATAGGTTACATTACATAAAGGGGATTTAAGATTAAAAAATAAGGGTGCAGTGGTTAAGTTGCACCCTTGGGATGTCCATGTGCCATATTGGAGTGTCTGGTTCAAGTCCTGGTTCCTCCTGTTCTAATCTAGCTCCCTGCTGATGTGCACCTGGGAGCCAGTAGGTGATAGCCTAAGTACTTGGGCCCCTGCCAACCACATGAAAGACCCAGACAGGCTCCTCTTTGGCCTGGGCCAGCCTTGGCTGCTGTAGCATTTGGAGAGTGAACCAGTGAATGGAAGATATCTCTTTCTCTCTGCCTTTTAAATAAAATGAAAATAATAAAAATGAAAGAAAATGGAATTAAGATTGCTGGTCAGGTAATTGAAATAAGGAGATGGTCCTGGACAATCCCTGTGGGTCCTTGAGTGTGGAAGAGAGGAAACAGACCGAGAGAGATGGGGAAAAGCTGGCCCAACGTTACTAACTGTGAATACGTGGGAAAGGGCCGCCAGCCACGGTATGTGCGTGGCCTCTGGAAGCTAGAAAGGCAAAGGAGCCTGAGAGCCCCCAGAAGCACACCGTGGGGCTGACACCTGGCTTTTAGCCCACTGAGATCCATTTTAGACCTCCAGGCTCCAGAGCTGTAAGCTAATACATTTGTGCTGTTTAAAGCCACCACGCTTGTGCTAATTTGTTACATCAGACATAGAGATCCAGCTTACACAATCCTGAAGAAATATGCACAGACGCAAGAGATGGTAGGCTGAGCAGCTTAATGAACCCTATAGATGTCCCAGTGATAGATTTTTTCTGTGTCAGAAATGCCTGACAAAGGCTTGTTACTGATTGATACATCTATTTCTACAAAGAAACTGCCTTCCAGTTATAGAATTAATTCACAGTAAATGCACGGCCTTTAAAAACTACTAATGTTGATGGAGATGGGGTTCCCCTAGGTAAATGGGATCCATCTTCTCTCATGTTCCTGGGTACGAGCACCCCTCCTAAACTCCTGGTCATCAAGCAGTGCTCAATAAAATGGGCTGAAACAGGGCCAGCTGCCTTCTTACCTGGGGGTTCCCTGGTCAGGTGGAGACAGACAGAAGAGAATGAGGAAAAAGCACAGAGAGGCAAACTCAGGGGCAGGAGGGCCTGTGTGGGGAGATGCAGGGCGGCTGCTCATCCTTGTGGTCTCCTGCATGAAGCGGCCCGGGCGTCCCTCAGGCAGCTGCAGTCTCTGACCAGGAGAAACGCTCGATGGAGAGAGGCTGAGGTGACTTTCAGAGCCACTCACCTCCTCCTTGGCGCTCCCTCGTACAGGGGACACACTGTCCACCCCTGGGTGATCGGTCTGACCTGGGAGACATGGGCACTCTGTGTTGGCTGCCTATCATTGTTCTAATAAATTATCACAAACGCAGTGGCTTAAAGCTACACAAATTTATTGTCTTAAAGTTCTTGAGGCCAGAAGTCCAAAACAGGTCTCCATGGGTGAAAATCAAGGTTTTAACTGCATTCCTTTTAAGGCTGGTTTCCTCTCTGGAGGCTGCAAGGTTTATTCATGCCATGGTCTGAACTCATGAGTCAATGGCACTAACGAGGGTACAGGCTCCATCCAGTCACGAGTTTGGGAGGTGGGGACTAGAGGAAGCTCATTAGGTCGCTCTCATGAGAGGGCTGCTTAAGGATCCTTCCCTTGCATATCGCTCCGCCACTGCCAGCAGCTAGACCAGCAGGGCCTGCCTGATCTGGGACTGAGAACCTCCAAAACCACAGCCAAAATAAAACTCTTGTTTGCAGTGGGCTTCTCTCGGCTTTCGTTACGGTGACAGAAATCTGGGAACGACTGCCTCTCCAGACTCCAAAGCCACCCACGTTTCTTAGCTCATGGCCCCTTCCTGGATCATCAAGGTCAGGAACACTGCCATCTCTGTGGGGCCATCTTCTGATACTCTCTTTCACTTTTGAAGGCCCCTTTGATTACAATGGGCCCACTTGGATCACCCAGAATATTCTCCTTATTTTAAGGTCAGCTCATTAACAAGCTTATTGCACCTGCAACTTGAAGTTCCTTTTGCCAGGTAACCTAATATATTCACTCATTCCAGGGATTAGAAGCTCTCCTGGGGAGGTGAAGACACAGGCCGAAAATAAGCAAGAGCTTGCATAAATAAATCCTTCACCAAAAAAATAAATGCGAAGTGCCAAAACGCTACCAGAGGGTCACAGACTACAAGGCTCTCTGAAGTGAAATTATTTCACAAAATCAAATCTTACCTTGGTGGACTAGTCCCTGGGTGACAAGCATGCTTACCAGAGAAAAAGGCAGAGCTGTAAAACAAAAATGCCCTTCAATGTTCGTATCTTAAAACTTAGCAGTTACCTAGACTTCAAGGAGAATTACTCTGAGCTTTTTGACTTATTTCTTTGGCAGTGAGTTTATATTGTTGTTGTTTTTTAAATTTTACTTATTCTACAAATATTTATTAAATGCTACATGGAGAGTTTTCCTGGCATCTGCTTCAGTCACTCACCCAGGTGCACAGCATTAATTAGACCAAACCTAAACCCCATGCTGCGCCATCTCTGGCATCCGCATGTCCTCCACGCCCAGCACGCACCAGCCACTAGTCAATCAGCACAGACAACACAGGCATCATAGTGTGTGTGAACTTAACTGTTGGGTTGGGGAGCTGTCTTTGGCTATGTATTTTGTCACTTCTACATAGTATTAAAACACAGTAAAATACACTCAAATTCAAACCTCCTCAATAATGATCTTCATAGCTGTTTTTTCTAATCCAGAAAAATAAAGGATTATGTCTTAATTTTATTCTTTAATCTGTTTTTATCTAGGACAGTTCTCTGCCTCTCTTTTGAATCTTTCATGATATTTTGTCTCACAATTTGAATATTTGTCTCAAGATCCAAATAAAGATTACAAGATGATTACACTCATGTTAAACATGTGCAAAGTTTAATTATGATTTTTGAAAGAAGCCATTTAGAATGGCAAAGATAGTTTCTAGTTCTGTCAAAATGACGTTTCTAAAACATTGGATGACTGAGAACATTGATAAACACCTAACTCTTCCTAGCAACCAACACAAATCAAATAGCAACTAATTGTTCCACTCACAGGCACCTACCTAATAAATGTTCATCTAGTAGGGCCCAATTAAATATTTACTCATAGGTTGTCTAGGAGCACAACCAGTAATCACAGTAATGCATTGCAAATATCAACTTCTAAAAAGTGCTACTTCCAAAACAGATGATTCTGAATTTGAATGATTTATGAAATCAAAATGAGTATTTCAAATTATAAATTATCTATCAGTGGTGTCGCAAAACATTGGGTCTATATCTAAAAACTATTTTCAAGTGATGAGTCATGAATTCTTCACACCGGAAGGGGCCTTAATGCACAGACTGAATGCACACTCTGGTCCTTTGTAAGGCAGGGCCAGAGAGAGGAAGCAACTCAGCAGAAAGGGTGATGTAAGAGACAGGGCAAGAGAAGAATGAACGGGACGCTGCCCCGTTACACTCAGCAAATATTTATGAGGTATTTTTTATGATTAAGACATTGTATAGGAGACACCGGGAGGAAGTTTCAGATAAACCTGACATTGTTACTGAGCTCTATAAGGTTTAGAGTCTAGTGGAATGTCAGAAGCTCTGCTCTCTCGTAGTCAGGAAATTCTAAACTATGGTCTTGGTCCACGCTCTTGGTCACGTGAAGGAAAGTTATGTGTGCGTCACTTTTTGCTAAATGAGGTGAATCAAGTGCTCCTTAATCAGATCAAACATCTGCACTAAAAAGGATCTCGGATGTCAGGGATTTCTGCAAGTCCTTGCTCAGAAACAAAGCATCACCCTGATTCTAACAGGATTTGGTTGTAGCAAATAAAGTATCAAGATCAAGATGGGCTGCAATTACCTCTCTTCCAGAAACTTTCTTCTTGACATTCTCGGATGATCTTTGCAATCTCTCCTTTATGGATGTGCAGTTTTGATTTCGGACAAAACAGCAGGCTCTGTAAGAGAAGTTGTAGGGTGAATATGCTGAGCTAATCAGGAAGCACCTGCCCTGTTTGCTCTGCGGGGGCACAAGGAGGCCCCTTCACTTGTTGAGGGTGTATACTCTGTGCCCGCGGCCAGCACAGAGCAAGGTTCCGTGGCCATGAGTGTTTTCCAGCTGGGCACGCTGGGTGAGCAGCTCTCTGGTCAGGCTGAGTTACATCTGAGACCACGTGTTCCATCCTTGCTATGTGCCCTGCCTAGAGTGCTACTCATTCCCTTGGCCCACCTAATCTTGGGACCCAGCCCAAAGGCCAACACTGTAACAAAAGAGGTTAAGCTGTAGCTTGCAATGTGGCATCCCATATCAAAGTACCAGCTGGAGTCCCAGCTGTCTTGCTTCTGACCCAGCTTCCTGCTAATGCACCTGGGAAAGGAGTGGATGATGGCCCAAGTATTTGGGTCCCTGCACACACACGAGAGACCTGGATGGAGTTCCTGGCTCTAGCCTGGCCCAGCCCAGGCTGTTGTGTGCATTTCTGAGGAGTGGACCAATGTACGAGGATCTGTCACTTTTTCAAATAAAAATTTTAAAAAATCTGAGAGAGCAAGTGAGCCAGCCCCCTAGCTCAGTGTTGCTTTTGGGTGAGAAGAGCAATTTCCCCTTCAGCACAATATGTAGACATCTGAGACACTACTCAGAGCACTCTAAGTTATCCACTTAACACATCTGATTTCCAATTTACCCATTTATACTCTACATGAATTTTTAGACAGTGGACTCATGAACAGACTGCTTTCCATTATTCTCTATTGTTTAATTTCAATTTTAACAGTTTTCTTTACAGATTTGTAAGCGGTCTAATTTCTGGCACACTGCTGACCTAATGACTTTCCTATTATTTTGTATCATGCTGAAATGTTGTCATCTAGAATAATTCCCATCTTTTATGATCCCTCCCCCTTTGTGGGTACAATGATATTTCAAAATGTTCATTAAATGGCATTAAATGATAAATTTTTGTTGTTGCAAAAAAACTTTTAGAAACCCATGCAGTTTTTTCATAATATGCAGTTTCCACAAATGATTTGAAGTCCACTAGTATATATTATTCATTCACTCTCCTCTCTCATTCTGTTCTGCCCACAACTATTCTGGGTGTTTAATGTATACCTTTTATTAGTACATATTATTTTGCTTAAAAATATTTTATTTATTTGAAACAGTTGGGGGGTAGAGAGAGAGAGAGAGAGAGAGATATTCCATCTGCTGGTTCACTCCCCTAGATGGCCACAATGGCCAGACTGAATCCAGGAGCTTCATTCTGGTCTCCTGCTTAGGTGCAGGGACCCAAATATTTGGGTCATGTGCTGCTGCTTTCCCAGGAACATTAGCAGGGAGCTGGATCAGAAGTGGAGCAACTGGAACTCAAACCAGCAGCCATATGGGATGCCAGCATTGCAGGGGGCTACTTAATCCATTATACCACAACGCCAGCCAGTACACATTCTTGCAAGATGTTCATTGCTTTGGGTACATGCATTTTTGTAATAAAAATAGCAGTTTTATAAATGCTTTTATTTATGTGAAAGGCAGAGTTATGGAGAGACGGAGGGAGAGACAAAGAAAAAGAGATCTTCCATCTGCTGGTTTACTCCCTACATGGCCACAACAGCCAGGACTGGGCCAGTTCAAAATCAGGATCCAAGAACTCCATTCTGGTCTCCTACATGTGTGGCAGGGGCCCAAACACCTGGGCCATCTTCCATTGCTTTTGCAGCCATATTAGCAGGCAACTGGATCAGAACTACAGCAGCTGGGACTGGTGCTCATATGGGATTTTGGCATCACAGGTGGCAGTTTAGCCCACTGTGCCACAATGCAGAATCCTCAAATGGCATTGTTTTATGTATTTTATTTACTCTTTAAAATATTTTCAACTCAGGGGCAGGTGCTGCGGCGTAGCAGGTAAAGCTGCTATCTGCAGTGCTGGTATCCCATGTGGTGCTGGTTCCATTCCCGGCTGCTCCACTTCTGATCCAGCTCTTTGCTATGGCCTAGGAAAGCAGCAGAAGATGGCCCCAGTCCTAGGGCCCCTGCATCTGTGTAGGAGACCCAGAAGAAGCTCCTGGCTCCTGGCTTCGGATTGGTGCAGCTCTGGCTGTTGTGGCCATCTGGGGAGAGAACCAGCGGATAGAAGACCTCTCTCTCTGCCTCTGCCTCTCTGTAACTCTGCCTTTCAAGTAATTAATCCCTTTTTTTTTTTTTTTTTTTTTTGACAGGCAGAGTGGACAGTGAGAGAGAGAGACAGAGAGAAATGTCTTCCTTTTGCCGTTGGTTCATCCTCCAATGGCCGCCGCGGCTGGCGCGCTGCGGCTGGCACACCACGCTGATCCGAAGGCAGGAGCCAGGTGCTTCTCCTGGTCTCCCATGGGGTGCAGGGCCTAAGTACTTGGGCCATCCTCCACTGCCTTCCCGGGCCACAGCAGAGAGCTGGCCTGGAAGAGGGGCAACCGGGACAGAATCCAGCGCCCCGACCGGGACTAGAACCCGGTGTGCCAGCGCCGCTAGGTGGAGGATTAGCCTAGTGAGCCGCGGCGCCAGCCCAAGTAAATAATCTTAAAAATATTTTTAAACTCAGCCTTATTCTTTTAAGACCCATCTGTGTTGATTATTTAACATACTTCTTATAAAAAATGTTTTTGTTAAAAAAATGTGAAATCCATGCATAGTTTTTTATAATAGGTATTTGCCATGAACTTTTTGAGGACCTCTCCTATATGACATTCTATTCTCTTTTTTTTAAGATTTATTTATTTATTTGAAAGTCAGAGTTACACAGAGAGAGGACAGGCAGAGAGAGAGAGAGAGAGAGAGAGAGAGAGAGGCCTTCCATCCACTGGTTCACTCCCTAACTGGCTGCAACGGCTGGAGCTGCGCTGGTCTGAAGCCACGCAAGTACAGGAGCCCAAGGACTTGGGCCATCTTCTACTGATTTCCCAGGCCATAGCAGAGAGCTGGATGGGAAGTGGAGCACCCAGGTCTCGAACTGGCACCCATATGGGATGCGGGCCCTTTAGGCCAGGGTGTTAACCCGCTGCGTCACAGCGCCGGCCCCGACTAGGTTTTCTAATGTCTGACATTATCCAGTTTTCTAGGCTGCAGGTCTGAAGTAATGTCTTATTTGCATTTCTGTGATACCAATGTGTCTGGGCATCTCCACATATCATTGAGCCAGATCATCCTTCTCTAGTGTGGAGGCAACCACTACAAGTTGTTGGCGTGGGCAGTAATCTCTCATTGTCTAGATATTAATATTAATCAGTTAATTTTCATTTTATTTGAAAGGCAGAAAGAGACATATAGAGACAGACACAGAGAGATCTTCTATGTGTTGGTTCACTGTCCAAATGCCTGCAACAGCTAGGGCTGGGCCAGGACAAGGCCAAGAGCCAGGAACTTAATCCAAGTCTTCCACATGGGTGGCAGGAGTCCAAGTATTTGAGCCATCATTGCTGCCTCCCAGGGTGTGCATTAGCAAGAATCTGAAATTGGAAATGGAGCCAGGACTCAAACCCAGCCACACTGATATCGGGACACAGGCATCCCAAGCAGTGTTTTACCTCTATGCCATATGCTATACCTCTGCCCCTTTTATTACCTTAATTTTATCATGGTAAAATACACAACATTTACCATTTTGATCCTTTCAGTGTTTGTAATTAGTGGCATGAAGTACATCCAAAATGTTGTGTAACCATCACCATTACTAGTTCCATTACTTTTTCATCATCCCAAAAGGAAACTCCACACCCATTAATTCTCATTTCCTCTGTCCTCCCACCCCTGGCCACTGCTACTCTGCCTTTTGCCTCTGTGGACTTGGCACTTCTGGATGTTTTATAAAAACGGAATCGCAGCATGTGTGGCATTCAATGGCTGGCTTCCTTTCCTTTGCACAATGTTTTCAATGTCTGTCTGCACTGTGGCAAGCATTAGCATTTTCATTCCTTTTTGTGGCTCAAGAGTATTCCATCACAGGGATATACTGTATTGTTGTTATATATACCATCCATCGGTGGGCACTTGAGTTGTTTCCACCTTCCAGCAACTGTGAACAGAACTGCCAAGGATGCTCCTTCACAAGTTTTTGTTTGGACACCTGTTTCAATTCTGTTGGGCCACACGGTCATTCTAACTTATTGAGAAACTGCCAAACTGTTTTCTAAGCAGCTGTACCATTTTACTATCTCACCAGTACACTATGTGAGTTCCCATTTCTCCACATCCTCACTATCACTTTAATTTTTTATTTGGCTTTTTAAAAAAAATTATTTATTTCAAGGCAGATTTACAGAGCAAGAGGAGAGACAGAGAGAGATCTTCCATCTGCTGGTTCACTCCCCAATGGCTGCAATGACTGGGGCAGGGCCAGGCCGAGGCCAGGAGCTTCCTCCAGGTTTTATGTGAGTGCAGGGGCCCAGGCACTTGAGCCATCTTCCGCTGCTTTCCCTGGCACATTAGCAGAGAGGAGGACAGGAAGTGGCACAGCCGGGACTCCAACTGGCATCCATATGCGGTGCTGACACTGTAGTCTATGGTTTAACTCTCTGTGCTATGAGCCAGCCCCTTGGCTTTTGTTGTTTAAAGTTTTATTTATTTGAAAGGCAGAGTTACAGAGAGAGCAAGAGAGGTCTTCCATCTGTTGGTTCACTCCCTAAAAGGCCACAATGGCTGGAGCTGGGCCAATCTGAAGCCAGGAGCCAGGAGCTTCTTCCAGGTCTCCTATGTGGGCGCAGGGGCCCAAGGACTTGGGCCATCTTCCACTGCTTTCCCAGGCCATAGCAGAGAGCTGGATCGGAAGAGGAGCAGCCGGGTCTCAAACTGGTACCCATATAGAATTCTGGTACCGTGGGTGGTGGTTTTACTTGCTATGCCACAGCACCAGCTGCAGCTTTTGTTTTTATTTATGGCCTTCCTAATGGGAGCAAAGTGGTGCCTCAGTATGGGTTTGATTTGCATTTCCCTAAGGACTGATGACATCAAACCCAATTCTATTGATGGTTCATTTGTTTAAAACAATTTCTTAAATATTTTATTTGAAAGGCAAAATTTCAGAGAGAGAGAGAGAGATCGAGAGAGAGAGAGATCTTCTATCCAATGGTATTTTCTCCAAATGGCTGCAATATCTGGAGGTGGGCTGATCCAAAGCCAGGAGCTTCTTCTAGTCTCCTACATGGATGCAGGGGCCCAAGCACTTGGGCCATCTTCTGCTGCTTTCCCAGACCCATTAGCAGGGAGCTGTATTGGAAGTGGAGCAGCTTGAACACGAACCAGCATCTATATGGGATGCCAGTTTCTCAGGTGGAGGCTTATCCTGTTACACTACAATGCCAGCCCCTGTTTTTACATTTTTTAAATAGTTGAAACAAAGTCAAAGAGAAATAGAACTTCATTACATGTGCAGGGGCCCGTTATGCCACAACGCTGGCCCCTAAAATTTTTGAAAAATTTAATTTGTTCCTCACTTGTATTTCTCTGTTTGTGAATTATTACATAGGTCTCTGGCTTAGTATTTTAGTATTTCTTGGGGTTCTGGGGTTTTTCTTGCTGAGGTACAGCTCTTGGCCTTTTGAAGTGCACCTTGCCTCTTTTTTTTTTTTTTTTTAATGTTTATTTTATTTTTTTTGAAAGAGTTACAGAGAGAGGTACAGAAACAGAGAGAGGTCTTCCATCCGATGGTTCACACCCCAGATGGCTGCAATGGCCAGAGCTGTACCAGTCAGAAGCCAGGAGTTTGTTCTGGGTCTCCCACGTGGGTGCAGGGGCCCAAGGACTTGGGTCATCTTCTACTGCTATCCCAGGCCACAGCAGAGAGCTGGATCGGAAGAGAGCAGCTGGGACTAGAACCGGCGCCCATATGGGATGTCAGCACTTCAGGCCAGAGATTCAACCCGCTGTGCACCAAAGCGCGGGCCCCACCTCTGTTCTTTCTTAGCCTCTTCGTTTGTAGTAGACATCAATGTGCATGATGGTCACCATTCCAAGTGACGTCATATCTGGAGTGTCCCTGTGGCTCTGATGCATTCAGAGCAACATGAGCAACCTCCCTCTTTGTCTACAGCTGCCCACGGCCCAGGACGAGGAAGGAGTGGACAGGTGAATCCAACAACAGGGGAAGCAGCTGTTCTTGCTCTGTCCCTCAGCAGGGTCACTCCTGGGCAAGCACCCCTCCTTGTGCCCCGTGTAATACACATGGTCCCCACTCAGCAATGGTTCAACCTACGATGATTCAACTTCACGACTGTGCAAAATTGATACACATGCAGTAAAAACTGTTCTTCCAATCTTGAATTTGAAGAGATGTGAGATGTGGTGCTGGGCAGCTGTAGCCCCCCGCCCCTGCTGTGTGATTTGGAGAAGAAACACAGCTACTTTGCAGTGTGCTTTGTGGCTAAGCTGTGCTGATGAGCAGGGGAGGCGTTTTCAGTGCATTTTCAACTCAACAAAACGTTCAACTTCGCCTGTGTTCATCAGGACATGACTCCATTGTTAGTAAATTGAGGAATATGTTTGTTCTTGCTCCTGGCTGTGGCTTCAGAAGAAAGAGGGGGGCACCTCCCCAAACCCACACGTATGCACACACCCAACTACCACAGCTGCTGTGAGCCTGCAGCTCTCCTGAAAGGAGCTCTCCTGGCCTTCTGCGCAGCCATAAATGTTGCATGGTTCTCCGTTTCACCGAGGCCACTCGGGTGTCCGCATTCTTCTCCTGTGACTTATCATGTGTCTGTTTGCCTCTCTAAACTCCGCTCCTTAAAAAGCATCTCCTCCAGGATAAACAATGTTTAGCTGGAAAAGTTGACCTCACAGAACATAAACTCCACTTATTTACCCACCAAACAGTTCCTCGTCTTCGCTGCATGTTCCCAAAACGCCAGTATTCATCCCTAACAGGCAGCAAGGATGCCCGTGCTAACCCCTGGGTTCTCAGCCTGATGGCCATTGGTAATTAAGGACTCTGACAGCCTAAGAAGAGCACCTGTCAGCAGCAGTGCTGGTTATGCGCACCCTTCCTAACAAAGCTGTAAAAATGAACAAGATGCATCATTTGCTGGAGCTCGCTGAGGCTTCTGTCTGCCACAGGGAATGACTTCAGTCGCCAACAGCCTAAGAGTTAGTTAAGCTGGGATCTACACAGGGAAGAGTACAAAAAGGCTTTAAAATAAAATTTTAAAAGGCTACTTTCCAAGGTAGCTAAAAACCCACTTTTCTTCCTCATTCCATTTTCCTTGAACCCACTGGACAAAATGCTAAGTCAGAGCACTGGTCAAAGATGCAGCTGAACAACAGTCCTGAACAGTTTTTCAGATAGGTCTCCCCCTGCCCCCAAATTAAACATATACCTTCTTGTTTAGCGGTGGCAAATGGGGACCGTTCTCCTGGCTTTCATGAGTCGACATGGATGCCATGGTGATTGGTCCTGGCTGCTCTTCCAGCTGGGTGTACTCTTGCTTACTCCTTTACCCAATGTCTAAGAAAAATATAAGGAAATTGCTGTGCCATGACTGAATGTTTATATCACGTTTCAAATCACCCTTAGCATCAGCTGCATTTGGAAACTTATTTTCATTAATCTTTTTTCTTTCTTTTTTTGACAGGTAGAGTGGACAGTGAGACAGAGAGACATAGAGGAAGGTCTTCCTTTGCCGTTGGTTCACCCTCCAATGGCCGCCACAGCTGGTGCGCTGCAGCCGGTGCACCGTGCTGATCCGAAGGCAGGAGCCAGGTGCTTCTCCTGGTCTCCCATGGGGTGCAGGGCCCAAGCACTTGGGCCATCCTCCACTGCTTTCCCGGGCCACAGCAGAGAGCTGGCCTGGAAGAGGGGCAACCGGGACAGAATCCGGCGCCCAACCGGGACTAGAACCCGGTGTGCCAGCACCGGTAGGCGGAGAATTAGCCTATTGAGCCGTGGTGCTGGCCTGTTTTCATTAATCTTAACCTGCAATTGTCTACAAATTCAATGTCTAAAGCTCTTCCCCTGGTGACACCCACGCATTAACTCACTGATGGGGACAGATTGGAGGTAGTGTAGACAAAACATCATGCTGTGCACCTGAAATGTTTTATTACCTATAAATTATGTCCTAAGAAACGTTAAGGTCATCAGTGACACAAATACAAGGTGACTTCAAAAAATTCACAGAAAATGGAATTAGAAGTTTACTTTTATGCAAAAATTTTAAAATCAATGCAGTTGAATACATTTTTACATGAGTTTTTAAAAGTTAATTTTTTTGAGGGGCAGAGAGAGAGAGGTACATAGCAAATACTCTCCCATCAGCTGATTTACTCCCCAAATGCCTGGGACAGTCAGGGCTGGGCCTAGACTGAAGCCAGGAGTTGGGAACCCAATTCAAGGTTTCCCATGTGGGTTGCAGAAAACCAAGTACTTGAGCTGCCACTGCTGCCACCCGGGATCTGTATTAGCAGGCAGCTGGAGTCAGCTGGGTACTGAACCCAGGCTCTTTGATATGGGACATGGACATCACAACTGTGTTTTAATCACTCACTGGCCCAAATGCTTGCCCTGCCTTGAACTCTTTGAAAACTCCTTGTATTGCTGAATGTCTATTATGTGTCAGACCCAGGGATACAAAGAAAGGTAAGACAAAAAAAAAAAAAAAAAAAAAAAAATCCCTGCTGAAGAAGGTAAGAGTTTAAAGGGGAAGACAGGTAAGTCAACAGTGACCCAACATGGGAAGGCTTCCAGAGGTATGCCCAGGTGCTGAGGAAGGAGGGCGGGAAAGGTCTATTCTGTCTGGTCAAGTCCAAGAACACCAAAGAGACCAAGACTCCTAAGCTCGCAGAGGGATGTGCAGGGGATGGATGGACACGGGGAGCAACAGGATCCATAAGGAAGGTAGCACAACAGTTGAGACAAGGAGCTATGCAGATCCGAACCAAGACCCCGGAGGAAAGGATGGGGGTGATAAACTTCGGTAGGAAAGGTTGGATCTGGGTATCTACGGAAGCAGACAGTGGAATTAGTCAATAGGGGTTAGACTATTTGAGGTTCTGGGCCTAGCGTTCCAGGAGAGATGAATCTGGGAGCTGCCACCACAGAGACGAGAGCGAAGGCAAGGAAGCTGAATAAATCCATCTGGAGAATGGGAACACCGAGCCCAAGCAGCCATCAACTAGAAAAGGGGGAAATGGGCCAGGGAAGAGCTGAGAGGCAGAGCAGCTGCAGAGGTGAGGGAGTCTGCAAGAGGAGGTCAATCATTAACAACGTCACATGTCTCTGAAGAGTGGACTTGGGATTGGCAATGGACAGATTCCAAGTGGACAGTGAACTTCCTGTCCCTTTCCCTCCAATGGCCGCTGCATTCTTGCATGCTTCATGACCAATGATCTCCCTGCAAAAGGAGTACCTTCTCACACACAGCCTATTTCCTCATTAATTACTCCCCAAGGGGGCCCATACTTGCACCAGATTTCACCATTAGGTGCCTCGTGTTGTAGAGACAGCATGGAGCTCTGTAAGGTTAAGTCCTGGAGTCAGACTTAGGTTCAAATCCTGATTCTACTCCTTGCTAGCCCTGTGCCTAGGGGCAGGTGATCTAACGGGCTGTGCCTCAGCTTTCCCACCTGTTAAGCAGGTGCAATCAATGCACACAGCAGTCCTGAGGGGCTGTTGCAAGGATGACGGATGAGGACGAGCAAGGAGGCCCAGACTCCAGCTCAGCGCCCAGCTCACAGGGAGTGTGTAGGTGGTGAGGGGCAGCTGTCTGAGTGGCCTTGGGTCAGAAAAGACTTCCTGGGAGGCCTCAGGAAATCAGGTGCCCAAGGCCAAAATATATTAATTTTGCTTAGTCAAGCATTAGGCTGTTGCTTCAAATTAGAAAGCAAAGGCACCCCAGCTCTTCAGCTTCGGTGCTTAGGCCCCCTTGCACCCCATGAATTCCCAGTCACCCTACGGAAGGAAGCCTTTGAGGGGCTTGCCTGCCAGGTGCAGCTCCCACTACCCACACGAAGGTTTGGTCCGTTTCCTGCGCGGTGCCGGAGGGCAGCAGAGGTGCTAAGGGGGCGAGAGGGCAGGCAGGACCAGGGACGCGAGGGAACACCGCGCCTTCGGACCGAGGACAGCCCGGAATCCGCCTGTGAGACTCCGCCCCCCCCCCCCCCCCCCAGGGGCTTTCGCCAAAACTGGGGGAACCCGGGACCCCAACCCGGGAAGGGGGTCCGGCCAAGGCCCTAGCCCTGCCCCTGCCAGCGTCCCCAGTGACGCCAGAAAGCAAGCGAGCAGAGGAGGCCTTCGGTCCCCCACCTACCCCCTTCCCTGTCATCTCCCAGGCCGAGTGCCCGGCGCCCGCTCTGCGGCCGCAGCCACAGCCCGCCCCTCGCCGCCCCGCGGGGCCCCAGGACCCGGGTCTGCAAGTCCCCGGCCCCCACCTGTCTTCCCGAGCGCCCTCTCCTCGCCGCGGAGCTCCTGGGCAGCGCTCTGTCTTCCCCCGCTTAAGTCACTGCGCAAGTGCATCCCCACCCCCACCCCGCAGGCCCGGTCTTGATTGGTGGCTGGAAGCCGCCCCGTGCTAGAACCTCCCCCTTGACCCCTCGGCCTGTCCTGACCCGTCTGTCACGCTTGCACGCGATTCTTCCTCCCGAGGATAACAGCTCCCACAACTTCCTGGTGCACTCCGACCCTGAGCCAGGCGCTGGCCTCCACTCACCTGCAGCCCTTCCCACAGCCCTGCGGGTTAGTGCTGCTCTCTCACTTTCCGGGCTGGCCAGCTGACTGGTGCGTGGCCTTTTCCCAGGCCATTAGAAGGGAGCTGGATCGAAAGGGGAGTAGCTGGGATGGGACATAAACAGGTGCCCATATGGGATGTTGATGTTGCAGGTGGTTGCTTTACCTGCTATGCTACAATGTTGCCCTGGGTTTGTGTTGTAACGTTCCTTTGCTACTCTTCAGGATTCAGCCCTTCAGGCATCGTGCTAGGATATCCTACCTTATCAGAAAGGCTTTTGATAGCCTAAAAGTTTATGGGGGGCCGGCCCTGTAGCACAGTGGGTTAAAGCCCAGGCCTGCAGCACTGGCATCCCATATAGGTGCCGGTTTGTGTCCTGGCTGATCCTCTTCCAATCTAGCTCTCTGCTATGGCCTGGAAAAACAGTAGAAGATGGCCCACGTGCTTGGACCCCTGCACCCATGTGGGAAATCCAGAAGAAGCTTCTGGTTCCTGGCTTTGGATTGGCTCAGCTGTGGTCATTGCGGCCAAATGGGGAGTGAACCATCAGATGGAAGACTTCTTTCTCTCTCTGCCTCTCCTCTCTGTAATTATGCCTTTCAAATAAACAAATCTTAAAAAAAAAAAAAAAAACTTGCTGCAGTACAGCCCATGTCCCCCCATCTCTACTTTCCACCAGAACATTCCAGTTAATTGCATTGAATAGCCGAAGTTACCATATGTAGTGTGCAGCATCATGAGTTCGTAAGTTGGTATTTATTGGGCAAATCTGATGTGTCCACACATTGTTCTGGGCACTTTCAGAGATGAAAGGAAATGGACATGGGTTCTTCCCATGAAAGATCTCTCACTTTCCAAAGAATTAGGGCCTAGATGTGGCACTGGAACCCTGGGTGTTGCACTGAATGACTCCTTTCTTAGGCTTTAGCTTCCTGCAGAGCCTTGGGATCTGTATGAAGTTGATGATCACTGGCCCATGCCGGGGAAAATGTTTCCGCTGTAGCAAGCACCACACTCTTCATGTCGGCCTCTAGCTCGGACTCCTCCCAGGGCCCTGCATCTTCCTACGCGAGGCACAGGTTCTTTAGCAGCGTCCTGCACAGTTCAGCTCTTGCCTGTGACTGATACTTTTGCATGTGCTGTTGCTTCAGCCGGAATCAGCCTTCCTGGACTTCTGCACTGCTCTGTCACTCATGCTTAAAGACAGAGCTCTGGGTAACCTCCCTGGAAACCCTGCCAGACACAAGTTCAGTTTCCCACCTGTTGTGCTCCTATCTGTAATGAATACCTGCTGTGTCTACCTCTGTGTGCATATATGAGGGTATTTCAAAAAGTACATGAAAAATGTATATTATGAAAAAGTGTGCATAAATTTAAGATTTTTTGCAAAATAAACTTTTTTTAAAAATTTGAGAAGCAAAAGAGAGAAAGAGAAAGAGAGAGTTCTCGTCTGCTGGTTTACTCCCCAAATGCCTGCAATGGTTGAGTCTAAGCCAGGCTGAAGCTGCGAACTGAGTAGCTAATTTAGGTTTCTCATGTGGGTGGCAGGGACCCAATCACTTGAGCCATCACCACCTGTTGCCTGTAGGGTGTGCATTAGCAGGAAGTTGGAGTTGGGAGTAGAATCCAGACACTCTGATATGGGATGTGGGCATCTTATTTGCTAGGCCAAACACCTACCTGAAACTTAATTTTTTTTTTTAACAGACAGAGTTAGACACACACACAGAGAGAGAGAGAGACAGAGAGAAAGGTCTTCCTTCCATTGGTTCACCCTCCAATGGCCACTACAGCCAGCGTGCTGCACCTATCTGAAGCCAGGAGCCAGGTGCTTCCTCCTGGTCTCCCATGCGGGTGCAGGGCCCAAGCACTTAGGCCATCCTCCACTGCCTTCCTGGGCCACAGCAGAGAGCTGGACTGGAAGAGGAGCAACTGGAACAGAATGCGGTGCCCCAACCAGGACTAGAACCCAGAGTGCCAGTGCCGCAGGCGGAGGATTATCCAAGTGAGCTGCAGCACTGTCCCCTGAAACTTAATTTTAAATTTTATTTTCCACCACTTTATATAAGTGCCTGTGTACATGTCTGCTATGCATGTATGTATAGATATGTAATATTCACAGTGAGCATGCCTAAAATACTATGTGCCTGGTACTCTTCTGCTCTCTTGTCACCTTTGAATTCCATCTCCACTGCTGGTCCATGAGTGATGCTAATAACTTGGTCACAGCATCAGGAACTGGCAAGAACTAGAATTTGAGCTCAAGCCCCAGAGCCATGTGCCAGAGCAATGCCACCCTGCTGGCCCTTGGCTGTCATCACACTGTGTTACAACCACTGATGTCATTCCTGGTCACCCTCTCTTGATTCTTGGCCCCTTGAGTGCAGGGGCACATTGTGTGAATCTATGAATGACAAAGATGATGATAAATTCAGTGAGACACAAAATTCATTGCTTTTCTTTTTTCTTTTTTAAGAACTATTTTTATTTATTTGAAAGAGTTAGAGAGACAGGTATAGCCAGAGAGAGAGAGAGAGAGAGAGAGAGAGAGAGGTCTTCCATTCTGCTGATTCACTCCCCAAATGACCGCAGTGGCTAGAGCTGAGCTGATTTGAAGCCAGGAGCTAGGAGCCACTTCTGGGTCTCCTACACGGGTGCAGGTGCCCAAGGAATTGGACCATCTTCTACTGCTTTCCTAGGCCATAGCAGAGAGCTAGATCAGAAGAGGAGCAGCCAGGACTTGAACTGGCACCCATATGGGATGCCAGCACTGCAGGTGGCACTTTAACCCGCTGCACCACAGTGCCGGCCCCCATTCACGGCTTTTCTTTCAAGAGGCTCACAGTCTTCCCTTTCTTAACAAAATGGGTTTAGGGCTTCTAAACAACCCTAGAAATACTTATATTATTCCAACTTTATGGGTAAGAAAAATGGGGTGCAGAAAAGTAATGTGCCAAGGTTCACAGCTGGGAAGCACTTGCAGGCGTTCAGACCCCAGTGGCCTGGCTCCAAAGCCTATACTCTTAATTTCTACAATGGATTCCCCTTTAGCATCCTCACTGGACAGAGCAGACACAGAACAAGAGGCAGGTACAAACACCTGAGCAGCTAGCGAGGACGGGGAACCAGTCAGCAGCTTGGGAGAGGTGGGAGTCAGCGCTACTCAGCAAGGCTGGATGGATGCCTGTCCTAGTAGTGGAGGGATGGGGAGGGGTGAAAACTGAAAAGCAGATGGGGGTCTGGATAGCACCATTCGAGCTTGGAGCTCATTCGCAAGCAGCTCTTCCCTGCTCTGTAAAAGGGGCCTTCGCTGATTTTGTGGTCAGGGAAGGTTGCATGGGATACGTGTTTGGGGCATGGGGGGATGCATTTTGGTTGCTCACCGAGAGGCAACAGCAGAGCAGCCAGCACCCTCCTGCCGTCCTTTTTCTTGTCCCAGCTGTCCACTTGCCATCTGCGTAGCTCTGTGACAGGCGCTGTGAATCACAGGATCGCCTGAGTCACTCATTTCCTCTCCGAGGAATCAATAATGCCAAGCTTCACAGAAGCAGGCAATCAGGTTTGAATGAGGAGTCACAAAGATTGAGCTCTGGCTCTGCGTTCCCTGCTGAACTGGCACTGCTGTCGGGCCAGGCTTGCTGCCAGCTCTCAGCTTGAGCTTTTGGGCCATCAACCCAGAGTTCTGGCTCCTTGACTTTCATCTGGATTTGATGTTCAGACTGCAGACTCAGCCAGAGGCACGGTGGGCCCGAGAGATCATAGTTTTGGCTCAGAGGGGGAAAGTCTAAAATATGAAGATGAGTGTGTACTGATTAGCTTGTGTCTTCAACCTCTGAGACAGGCCTGTCCTTTATTTCACTCACAAGTGCTAATAGATGTCCTGAAAGTAAATTTACTGTTTTCATATCCCAGAACTACCTTCTACAGCTATGATGCACAAAGCCTTTGAATGCAATAGAAAAGTCAGAATGTCTCTGGTATATCAGACTATGTGGCTAAGCAGAGGCTGTGGCCCATCTCATCCCAGGGTGCCCTGTCATCTTCCTGTCCTAGTCCCTAGCCTACATTCTGCCATGATGGACTCACACTTACTCTGCAGCCCTGGCGGAAGAGATCCTTAGAGCCTAGGAGTTTGGGGCATGTGCCCTGGAGCCAGACTGCTTGGGCTCCTGTTCTAGCCTCATTCTTCCTCTCTGTCCAGATGATCGCTTGGGAGAGCGCCTGGCACATAGGTAGGCAGTGCTGTTGAAGTGTTCACCCTCCGGGGCCTCCCTAACAGGGTCCCTCCTCTCTGCTCAGTCTTAATGACCACATCGTTTGTCTGTGTTCTAGGATCTGGGCCATCCCAAGGCCAGGCTTCTCACCTTCATGCCTGTGGCTGGAGATAATCATTTCGGTGTTGTGGCTTTTCAGCAGCCTGAACGAATGGTAGGTATTCTCCCCTCCCCATTCCAAGAATGCTGCCAAGGGTGTCCTTGGCGACTTTGGCACTGTGGGGGTAAACAGAGAGGCCAGAACTAAGGCACCCACAGGCATTTGGAATATCTCCCCCATGCAGAATCATGTCGCAGACAAAAAGTCCCGACTGAGAGGGGGAGAACTGGGCTGACCATGAAGGGAAGGAGGTTTTGTTGTTGTTGTTTTAATTAATTATTTCTTTATTTGAAAGTCAGAGTTACTGAGAGAGAGGGAGAGACAGAGACAGAGAGATCTTCCATCTGCTGGTTCACTCCCCCAGATGACTGCAATGGCCAGGACTGGGCCAGGCTGAAGTCAGGAGCCAGGAACTCAATCATGGTTTTATACATGGGTGCAGGGACT